TACAGGCAAACAGAGGCCAAATCATAAGTTGAACTCCCATTCCAATTTCTTCCAAAAGATAATAAAATACCTAAGAATCACCTTAGAGGGATGTGAAGGATCCTCTCCAAGGAGGAATATAAAACTCACCTGCTCAACGAATAAAAGGACAAGGACAACATGACGAATGACGAGACATTCCATGCTCATGGATAGGAAGAATCCAATACTCGTGAAAATGTCCATCTGCCCAGGGTAATTTATATTTCAAAGCGATCCCTATCATAGCTACCAACCTGCTGTTCTTCACAGAATTGAAAAAACTACTTTAAAGTCATATGGGAACCAATAAAAGACCCACTCATCTGGCAAGAAATCCTTAGCCAAAAGAACAAAGCTTGGAGGCATCACGTTCACCTGACTTCAAACTATATACAGAGGGCTACCATGTAACCAAAGCAGCAATCGGTACTGTACCAAACAGAGATATAAATCAATGGAACAGAACAGAGCCCTCAGGAACATAATACCCAGATCTACAACCATCTGATTCTTTGACAAACCCGACAAAACAAGAAATGGGGAAAGGATTCCCTATTTAAATAATGATGCTGGGGAGAACTGGCTAGCCCCCATACATAGAAACCGAACCTGGATTTGCCCTCTCCCTTCACACCTTGTACAAACACTTAACTTCAAGATCAGGATTGAAAGACTTAAATGTTAGAGCTAAACCAGTAAACCCCTACGCCGATAAACCTAGCATACCATTCAGGACATGAGGCATGGGAAGGACTTCATGACTAAAAACCTAAGCCAATGAACAAAAGCCACAATAGACAAATGGGATTAATTAAACTGAAGATTCTGCCAGCCAAAGAAAACTACCAGCAGAGATGGAACAGGCAACTACAGATGGAGAAATTTTTGCAATTTCTACCCCATCTGACGCAAAGGGCTAATATCCAGAATTACAAAGAACTTAACAAATTTACAAGAAAAAAACACCGCATACTATGGAAGTGGGCAAAGGCTATGGGTGTGACATTTCTCAAAAGAAGACATTATATGTAGCAACAGTCACATGAAAAAATGCTCATACATCACTGGCCTCAGAAGAAATGCAAATCGAAACCACAATGAGATACATCTCACAGCCAGTTAGAATGGTGATCATTAAAAAGTCAGGAAACAACAGGTGCTGGAGAGGATTTGGAAAAATAGGAACTTTTTTTTTTTTTTTTTTGAGACGGAGTCTCGCTCTTTTGCCCAGGCTGGGCTCACTGCAAGGTCTGCCTCCCAGTTCATGCCATTCTCCCGCCTCAGCCTCCCGAGTAGCTGGGACTACAGGCACCAGCCACTGTGTCTGGCTAATTTTTTGTATTTTTAGTAGAGACAGGGTTTCACCATGTTAGGCAGGATGGTCTCGGTCTCCTGACCTCGTGATCCACCTGCCTCGACCTCCCAAAGTGCTGGGATTACAGGCATGAGCCACCACGCCTGGCTAGGAACACTTTTACACTGTTGGTGGGACTGTAAACTAGGTCAACCATTGTGGACGACAGTGTGGCGATTCCTCAAGGATCTAGAATTGGAAATACCATTTGACCCAGCCATCCCATTACTGGGTGTATACTCAAAGGATTATAAATCATACTTCTATTAAGACACATGCACAGGTATGTTTATTGAAGTACTATTCACAATAGCAAAGACTTGGAATCAACCCAAATGCCCATCAGTGATAGGCTGGATTAAGAAAATGAGGCACATATACACCATGGAATACTATGCAGCCATAAACAAGGATGAGTTCATGTCCTCTGTAGGGACATGGATGAAACTGGAAACCATCATTCTGAGCAAACTATCACAAGGACAGAAAACCAAACACCGCATGTTCTCACTTGCAGGTGGGAATTGAACAATGAGAACACTTGGACACAGGGTGGGGAATATCACACACTGGGGTTAATTGATAGTTAATTGATAACAGAGGGTACGGGCTTTAGAACCTCACAGATTCACACAGAACTTTGTCCCCTGACCCTTTGTGGCTCTGGGGGAGGGGTTTGTCAATGAAGTTTAGTGTTTGAGTAAGACTTAACTTGGTAAGCTGAAATCATACTAAAAATGGTTTCTCCCATCTTTGGCACTTAGAATCCAGAACAAGCTCAATAAGGTTTTTCTCTGGTCAGGTGAAAAGGCCTTTGCTTTATGATGGAGGTCCTAGGCTTCATTGACCACAAAGACTTGTAGAATTTCCAAGATTACTATGGATGGATGCATTGGAAGCAGCCAGAGATTTGAAGCAGAGACGGCTCCTAGTTGTTTGTCTATGGAGAGTGACTGATAGCTATTTATTGTCAGATTCCAGGGTTAAAAACTTTCTTAAGCAGTAGATAGTAAATATTTTAGGCTTTGTGACATATTATCTCTGTCACAGCTACTCAAGTCTGCTGTTGGTTGAACTCTGGCGTCACTAAAGAGAGAAAACAACCATAGGCATTATAGGCTATGGCTGTGTTCCAAAAAACTCTATTTACAAAGGCAGGCAGCCCAGATTTGGCCTCCAGGCTGTAGTTTGCTAAACCTTCGTCTAAGTCATTTTCCACCCATTGCCTTTCTGTTCTGAGCATATTGGTAGATACACTAACAGCGCTGGAAAATGTAAATTTGAAAATAAAATTGCTTGCTAGACATTCTCCTTCCCTTTATTGAAACTTGGCTTCAGCTCTGCTGAAGCAAAACTTTTCAAAACTGTGATATTATGATACACACACACACACACATATATATAAAGCACATATATATAAAGTTTATATATATATACACACACACATATATATGTGTGTGTGTATATATATATGAAGTTTTCACCCATGGTTCCTGGCTCATAACTTCCATAGCCCTTGTTTCAGTAAACAGAATCTCTCTCTGACCTTCGCCTGCCCTCCTTTCACCCACATTACAACTCCAATCTGATTGTGAGTCATAAGACCTTCATTCTAGAGAGGGTCCTGCTCCATACCCTGGAGAAAGGGATGCTGCATAGAGAGGCCAAATGGAATCTGAACAAACAGGCTTTGCTAGGTTTAGCTCTTACCCTTTTTGTCCAATCACATTTTGACACGGTTATCCATGCTTTGATTATGCCTATGCAATGAAGTCTCCAAAAAACCCAAAAGGACAGAGTTTGCCCAGCTTCTGGATGGCTGAACGCATGGAGGGACCTAGAGGGTGGCACACCCAGGGAGGGCATGGAAGCTCCATGCCACTTCCTCCATGCCTTACACTATGCATTTCTTTATCTGTATCCTATGTGGTATCCTGTATAATAAACCAGTAAACATTAGTGTTTCCCTGAGTTCCGTGAGTCACCCTAGCAAATTAATCAAACCCAAAGAGGGGGCTGTGGGAACCTGATTTATAGCCAGTTGATCAGAAGGCCTGGATTTGTGACTGGTGTTTGAAGTGCGAGGGGCAGTCTTGGGGACTGAGCTCTCAACCTGTGAGATCTGACACCACCTCCAGTGTCATAGATAGATATTATGGATAGTCAGAATTGAATTAGGGGACACCCAGCTGGTGTCCATTGCAGTACTAATTGCTTTTTTGTGGGAAAAACACCCACACATTTGGTCACAGGTGTCTTCTGTGTTGATTGTTTTCTTGGTGGGTGTGACAGCAGAGGAAAAATGGTTTGAGGTTTTTTTTAAAATAAATACTATTACAATGCAAGTGTACAACACATCTATTTCTCCCTACTTATTAAATAGGCCAAAATTAATTTTCTAGTGGAATGACTTAGCATTGCTCTTTATGAAAATAATTTCATGCAAATCAGTAGGCATGCCCTGGGCTTTTTCATTGTTTGCAGCATGAGGACCATCAAAGTGCTCTGAGAGAATCAGAAGCAGAATATTGATGGAGAGAGGACATTGAACCTTGTGACTTCAAGATTTTCTCCATTGAGGGTGCTAATTTTTTGGGAAAATTATCAGCTAAACATGAGTTATAGTTCAGTAAACACCATGGCTGAGCAATTTAGGATGATATATAAAAGGTCCAGTCCAGATCAGGAGGCCAAGTGGACTGGGGATAGGGATGAAGGTAAGACTCACCATCCTTAAGGAACTAACCTCTGTATGGCAAGATGCTGGAGTTCGGTGGGCTTGGTGCAAAGTGAACCAAAGATTCACTTGGGTTTGGAATTTGGGTTTGGTAAAGGCAAAATCACAAATGGATAGGGCTAGATCAAATTGAAATTTAAATGGTAAATAAGAAGTGAAAGTGTCGGTCCAAGGAGTTGACAGCCAACAAGTGTTGGAATGCACTTTTGAATCCAGAACAGGTAACCACCTTGGCTTTCATTACTCATTCTCAGTGGAGGCATGTAGCAGGAGAGTGTCTGATTAGAGGAATCACAAATAGGTAGAACTGGAGAAAGCAGAATAGGAATCAAGTGTCAGGATAAAAGCCTCCAGTATAGCCGTCGCTATCAGTGTTGTGTCCATACCCTGTTTGATCCCTTTACCATTTCCTTGTGCTTTCTGTCCCAGCTGTGTCTCTTTTTGTGGGGGCTACTCTCAAGCTGCCAGAGCTTGATTTGCCTATACTCAAAGAGAGCCAGAAGGGCCTGGGAATATATACCTCTCTCCCACACCCCCAGCCCTCAAGAGGCAGACTTTTCAAAATGACTAATGTATGGAAGAGTGTAAACACTCCAGTTCCTCCCTCTTAATTGTCTCTAGAGCTCTGTGGGATTAAGCCAAAGTTAGGCCTTGTGGACCTCTGCTTGATACCGCCCTTCTGATAAATAACTTTTATAAAAATTTTCATCTCAAGAGTCTTTTTCTGGGGAATCCAACCTAAGACATCTAGCTTTTCAAAAGTTTGGAAGTAATTCCTGCTGTTTTAAGAGATCTGGGGGAGTTTTCTTACCAGTTTTTCCTGAATTAGGCTTTAAAATTTTTTTAAAGAATATTGATGATTTTATTGATATGTTGTCTGTGTCACAGGATAACCATGGAATCACTGCGTTCAGTAAGGAAAATAATTTTAATGAATCTGCGAGCCTTTAATGCTGACACTTTCTCTACGGTTATGGCATAAAACAGAGCATCCACATCCACCAAAAGAAGCCTTGTACAGGCACCATGCCATAACGTGACCTGGTTACCTGGTTCTGTCGACGGCGGGCATCAGTGTCTTCACCCAAAGAGTCAGGCTCTCCAGAGAGGTTTGAAAATTTCAGACAAAGTGAAGATGACAATGATTTTCTCAGAATGATGATGAGAACTCTACCAGAGAATTGTAGACAGTTTACCATGAATACATAGAGACAAAGAGCTTTTCCAGATAGGCTGTAAGATGTAGTAGTTGCAGGTTTCTATTTGTTAAGAAACTTTTTATTTTTAAACTTAACAAAGGTTTAATAGCTTTAACTTTTAAAAAATTTATGCACAAATACCTTGGTCCTAAACCAAATATTAACAAGTCACAGAGCAAAAAGTAAAACAGCTAATAAAAATATTAAAATCATTAGAGTTACTCATAACTTTTAAAATTCAATTAAAATGAATACAATAACACATTTATCGATCACACAAGCAAAAATTCAAATAAGAAACAATAAAAATATGCATCACCAGAGGACTAACATTACAGGTACTGCATCATTCCCTTAACATGGATTGTTTTATTTTATTTTATTTATTTTTTAATTATACTTTAAGTTCTAGGGTACATGTGCACAACGTGCAGGTTTGTTACATATGTATACATGTGGCATGTTGGTTTATATTAGGTATTTCTCCAAATGCGATCCCTCTCCCACCCTCGACACCACGACAGGCCCTGGTGTATGATGTTCCCCACCCTGTGTCCAAGTGTTCTCATTGTTCAATTTCCACCTGCGAATGAGAACATGCGGTGTTTGGTTTTCTGTCCTTGCGATAGTTTGCTCAGAATGATGGTTTCCAGCTTCATCCATGTCCCTACAGAGGACATGAACTCATCCTTGTTTATGGCTGCATAGTATTCCATGGTGTATATGTGCCTCATTTTCTTAATCCAGCCTATCACTGATGGGCATTTGGGTTGATTCCAAGTCTTTGCTATTGTGAATAGTACTTCAATAAACATACCTGTGCATGTGTCTTAATAGTAGTGTGATTTATAATCCTTTGAGTATATACCCAGTAATGGGATGGCTGGGTCAAATGGTATTTCCAGTTCTAGATCCTTGAGGAATCGCCACACTGTCGTCCACAATGGTTGACCTAGTTTACAGTCCCACCAACAGTGTAAAAGTGTTCCTAGCCAGGCGTGTTGGCTCATGCCTATAATCCCAGCACTTTGGGAGGTCGAGGCGG